TTGAGACGGAGTCTCACTCTTTTGCCCAGGCTGGAGTGCAGTGGCATAATCTTGGCTCACTGCAACCTCTGCCTCCCGGGTTCAAGGAATTCTCCTGCCTCAGCCTCCCCAGTAGCTGGGATTACAGGCATGCACCACTACATCCAACTAATTTTTGTATTTTTAGTAAAGATGGGATTTCACCATGTTGGCCAGACTGGTCTCGAACTCCTGACTTCAGGTGATTTGCCCACCTTGGACTCCCAAAATGCTGGGATTATAGGTGTGAGCCACTGTGCCCAGCCACTTTTTTTTTCTTTAGAGGCAGGATCTCTTTCAGTCTCACAGGCTGGAGTGCAGTGGTGCAATCATACTTTACTGCGGCCTCAAGCTCCTGGGCTCAAGCAATCCTCCCGCCTCAACCTCTGTAACAACTAGGACTGCAGGTGTGTGCCACAACACTCGGCTACTTTTTAATTTTTTTTGTAGAGTCAGGGTCTTGCTATGTTGAGCAGACTGATGTTGAACTACTGGCCTCAAGTGATATTCCTGCCTTAGCCTCCCAAAGTGTTTCAGGCATGAACTACTATGCCAGGCCTATTTTCACTTTTTTCATTTTCTTTTGAGACAGAGTCTTGCTCTGTCGCCCAGACTGGAGTGCAGTGGTGTGATCTCAGCTCACTGCAACCTCCCCTTCCTGGTTCAAGCAATTCTCCTGCCTCAGCCTCTAGAGTAACTGGGATTACAGGCATCCACCACCATGCCAGGCTAATTTTTGTATTTTTAGTAGAGGCGGCATTTTGTCATGTTGGCCAGGCTAGCCTCGAACTTCTGACCTCAGGTGATCTGCCCGCCTTGGCCTCCCAAAATGCTGGGATTATGGGCGTGAGCCACCATGCCCGGCCCCCTTTATTACATGTTCTGATTTATTGTTTTTCTGGTAACTTAGAGTATGCATACTTGAAGCATCATCAAGATTCTCATCTAGAAGAGAAGAGTCAGAAAAGCATAATTTGATTCAAAGAAATAGTAAGTCTTATGCCTGTAATCCCAGTACTTTGGGAGACCAAAGTGGGAGGATCACTTGAGGCCAGGAGTTGGAGAGCAGCCTGGGCAACATATTGAGACTCCCATCTTTACACACACACACACAAGTAAGCCAGAAATGGTGGCTTTCACCTCTAGTCCCAGCTACTGGAGGGGTGGGGAAGGTGTGTGAGGTGAGAAAATAGCTTAAGCCCAGGAGTTCAAGGCTGCAGTGAGCAGTGATGACACCACTGCACTCCAGCCTGGGTGACAGAGTGAGACTCTGTCTCAAAAAAAAAAAAAAAAAAAAAAAGAAAGGAAAAAAAAGAGAAAAGAAATACTAAGTATCTGTCATATTTATGTTACATGTTTTAATGGCATTGTCTCATGGACGCCTAGTTCTGGAATATTTAAATCTTCTTGTTTCTTTTTTTAAATATAATTTTTCAATTTTTTTTGGCTAATTTTCTCTGTATCATTCAAATTTTAGTGTATGTGCTGCCAAAGTGAGCACCATTTCCTTACTTTTATTATACAGTTTAAAATTCTGTCAACTTTTACTCTGTGATGGCTCCCAGATTTATTTTTTATTTTTTTGCTGTTTTCAGAAAATGATATATTTAGGTAGTTTAGGGTTTTATCACCACACATATAGACTACTAGAATATCTTTTAGATTGTCTCTTTTTTTTCTTCAGACGGACTTTCATTCTTGTTGCCCAGGCTGGAGTGCAATGGCACGATCTTGGCTCACTGCAACCTCCGCCTCCTGGGTTCAAGCAATTCTCCTGTCTCAGCCTCCCAAGTATCTGGGATTAAAGGCGCCCACCATCATGCCCCGCTAAATTTTGTATTTTTAGTAGAGACTGTGTTGGCCAGGCTGGTCTCCAATTCCTGACCTCAAGTGATCTGCCCGCCTCGGCCTCCCAAAGTGCTAGGATTACAGGCATAAGCCACCACGCTTGGCCTAGGTTGTCTCATTTTAAAATTTTATTTATTTTATTATTTGCCAATTTATTTATTTTGAAACAAGATCACCCAGGCTGGAGTGCAGTGGCACTATCATGGTTCCCTGCAGCCTCAGTCTCCTGGGTTCAAGTGATCCTGCCACCTCAGCCTTTCCTGTAGTAGCTGGGACTACAGGCACGCATCACCACACCTGGCTAATTTTTTTATTTTTTGTAGAGATGGAGATCTTTTTATGTGCTCATAACAAGAGGCAGGAGGATCACTTGAGCCCAGGAGTTCAAGACCAGCCTCTCGAAATTCTGACTCAAGTGATCCTCCCACCTCAGCCTCCCAAAGTGCTGGGATTACAGGTGTGAGCCACTGTGCCTGGCTTTTAAAACTTTTTCTTCAAATCATCTTGCATACTGCTGTCTAAAAATTGTTTCAGAGTTTTTTCCATCATTCTGTAAATCCTAAATGTTTTTGTTTTAAATTTATATTTTTAGATAATTTTTTATCTCTATAAGTTTGAAATGACTTATTTTTAACAATTTCCCTTTATATTGGGCATACAGTGAAATTTTTAAAAAATATTTCATTATTCTACTTGTTTAGTTCAGGCATTCTTTACTTGAGAGCCACAACTCTCAAAGGCTTCTTGGATAGAATTCAGGGAATTTGTGAATTTGTATGGGTAAAAAATTTCATTTTTATTTTTACTAATGTAGGGGAGAACATATCTTTCCTTCTATCCATCCTAGATTTAGGGCTGAGATCCCTATAACAAAAGAGAAATTAGCAAGAGAAAAGCATGCACATTTATTTAACATAAGTTTTGCATGACATGAGAGCCTCCATAAGGAAATAAAGGCCCAAAGAAACAGTTGAACTTGAATGTTTTTTATAGTAGGTTTGATGAAGAGCAGCCAGTGATGGAGAAATGTCATAGGGCAAAGTGTGAACAAGCTAAATGTAATACACTGGGGGAAACTGAGCAGGCCTGGTTGTTTAGATTCCTCTTTGTGTCCCTGTGCTTTTGGAGGTAAGGATGCTCCTTTTCTCTGGGTGCCGTGAGAGCACCTCTTACATGAGAGTCTTATGATGTACTTCAGGGGAAGATCAGAAAATCATTCCCAGGTTTAATGGCTGCTTCCAGGGAGAAGAGCAGGCAGAAGGTCAGAGTCACCTTCCTGCTTCTGCAATTTCCTCAAATGCCTTCAGCTTAAAATATTCAATATGTCAAGGTGCTATATTTTGTGTAGGGTGTCCTGAACCCCATCACTAACCTCAAACTGAAAGGATTTTCTTCAATTCTGAACATAATTAAAAAACCACAGTAATATTAGCCATACTTCATCATCAAAAGAAAACCCAGATATTTTCATATCACATTACTTTTTTGCATCTGTTTTCATTATGCTCATCACTACTTCAAATTTAGGATAGATATTAACTCTTATTTAATGCATTTATAAAGATGCGTGCATATTAGTATATAACAAACTTATCTTTTAACATTTTAATAACTGTATTTTGATATAATTAGATTCCTTTGTAATCCTATATATTTTATGCATTTAAAAACATGATTCTGAGAAGGCATTCATAAGATTTATCAGATTGCTAAAGACTAAGAACCCATGTTTTTGTTCTACTTTCAATACCTGAAAAGTTGCGGATAAAACAAAAATTATGTTAAAAATGAAAAGTAGGCTGGGTTCAGTGGCTCACACCTGTAATCCTAGCACTTTGGGAGGCTGAGATGGGTGGATCACCTGAGGTCAGGAGTTTGAGACCAGCCTGACCAATGTGGCAAAACCCTGTCTCTACTAAAAATACAAAAATTAGCTGGGCATGATGGCACACGCCTATAATCCCAGCTACTCGGGAGGCTGGGGCAGAAGAATTGCTTGAACTCAGGAGGCAGAGGTTGCAGTGAGCTGAGATGGCGCCACTGCACTCCAGCCTGGGCAACACAGTGAGACTCCATCTCAAAAAAAAAAACAAAAAAACTGAAAAGTAATCAACTAAATACTTTTTAACTATAATATTCTATACACGTTTGATGATAGCCATGTATTATGGTATTATTTATGTTTTTATATTTAACAATTCTTGTTCCTTAAAATGTGCTTTATGGAGAAGGAGCCAGAGTTGGTGAAATTAGTTTAGGTCAATTTAGGATATATTAATGACATTATCCCACATATTGTTCATGTCATAGGCATGAACTTAAAAAATTGAAAGTTCCTGCTGCCTGCTTAGATGCATCTACTAATCTAGAGCAGTTGTGAGGAAGATCCATCTGAACTAGATAAAAATATGAGCAGTGGAGTATTGGTTATTTTATTCTGGTTGGCTCAGTTATTTGCCAAAAAAAGGCCCTGGTCAAATTGTTGATCACTAGGTAAAAATAATTTGGACTAATACATTAAATTGTTGATCATTAAAATAATTCTTTCAAAGTGCTTGCCTTTTATGCATTTGTTTACTTTAACATGATTTAATTTAAAAATATGTGTTGAATCCTCTTTTTTTTAAGACAGGGTCTTGCTCTGTCACCCAGGCTGGAGTGCAGTTACAGTTCACTGCATTCCCACCCTCCTGGGCTCATGTGATCCTCCTATCTTAGACATCTGCATAGCAGGGACCACAGGCACACACGCCATCCAAATATATCCTTCTTCACCAAAGTTGTGGCCCCAGCTTTAGAAAAAGGAAACTCCTGGATAGTTTCCTTTTTTTTTTTTTTTTTTTGTGGAGACAAGGTCTCACTATGTTGCCCAGGCTGGTCTTGAAATCCTGGGCTCAAGGCTATCCTCCTACCTCAGCTTCCCAAAGTGTTGGGATTACAGGCATTAGCCGCTACACATGGCGTTTTGAATCCTTTTATGTGCAAGGATATAATCTGAACCCTTAGGACATTTATAGCCTAATATTTTCTTCCATCAAAGTTGCTAAAGCCCATCACCAGAATACCACAATTAATATTCTCAGGATAGATTATTAATAGTTGCCTAGGAATAAGAATGGTGTGTGGCAATGACAGAAATTTGAAATGGCAGATTTATTAAGTACTTTTAAGCCATCAAGTTACAAAAGGCTATCAGGGGTCTTAAAAAGACAAAGAGTATAAAATAAAACAATGAACAATGACAGATTGTTTTAGGTTGAACAATTTTTATACAGTTATATCTACAGTACACTACTAATTTACTTAGCAAACTTTTTCCTGAGGTTTGCAAATTTTAAAAAACGAAGACTCAAACTATATTATCTTTTCTGTTTTTTTGAAACAGAGTCTCCACTCTGTTGTCCAAGCTAGAGTACAGTGGTGTGGTCTCAGCTCACCACAGCCTCAACCTCTTGGGTTCAAGGAATCTTGTGCTTCAGCCTCCCAAGTAGCTGGGATTACAGGCATGCACCATTACGCTCCGCTAATGTTTTGTATTTTTAGTAGAGACGGGGTTTCACCATGTTAGCCAGGCCTGTCTTTAACTCCTGGCCTCAAGTTGATATGCCTGCCTTGGCCTCCCAAAGTACTGGGATTACAGGCGTGAGCCACCGTGCCCGGCCTCAAACTATATTTTTTAATTAGTACAGTAAATACACATTAATCGTGACACAATTATTTCTTCTGGATACAGCAGGAAAAATTAAGTTAAGAGAAAGTGCTTCGTATTTCTTGATTTGTTATAAAAAGAAGAGATCCTCTCTAGATTTCTGGGTAAGAGGGGAAACTAGCAATCCCACAATGATTTCCTTTATTTCTTGCCATCCGAATATATCCTTCTTCACCAAAGTTGCGGCCCCAGCTTTAAAAAAAGAAATAACACAAAATTACAAATGCATGCAATCAAATCATGTTATCAACTTTTTATCTCATTGTTTTTCTCCTGTAAGTGATTATATATGAAAGACTGTAAAACAAAATTAGAATGAAATAATATAATAGTTTCTCCAGGGATTTTAGGCAATTCAAAATAATGGTTTGGAAAGCTTTAGTGCTATATTGATGAATAGACTTAATACCTAAGGAAAACTATAGTAAGATCCATCCCAGTCCTTTAATCCTCCTACTTTGCAAATATGACTTCTCTAAGGAAAGAGTATTAGTATCCTTTATAAGGCTCTATCTCTAAATTTTTTTATAACAGTATCGTGGGTAATGATTTTCCATCAAACTTAAATTCCTCTAGAGAATGCCAATTAAGAAATATTTTTGAGTTACTACTGTGAAAAAGCTATAGGGGAGGGAATTCTAAAGCCAACAACAAAAATGCAGCTCTGAAAGAGTTTTTGATCTAGAAGTGGAGCTGCGATAAGACTTTCTTATAATTAAAGCTATTGAAAAATGAGCCAGGCATGGTGGCTCACACTTGTAATCCAAGTGCTTTGAGAGGCTAAAGTGGGATTGTTTGAGGTCAGAGTTTGAGACCAGCCTGGGCAAAATAGCAAGTCCCTGATTCTACAATTTTTTTTTTTTTTAATTAGCCAGGCATGGTGGCATGTACCTGTATTCCTTAGCTACTCTGCAGGCTGAAGTGGGAAGATCATTTGAGCCCAGGGGTTTGAGAGTACAGTGAGCTATGATTATACCGCTGCATTTCTGACACTCCAGCCTGACCCTGTCTCAAAACAAAACAAAGCAAAACAAAACAAAAAAAAGGAATATTCTACCTGGCACTGGAAGTGTTCAAGCAAGCGGAGGCTAATTGTTAGCGATGTTGCAGAGAGAAATCATGGGTCGGATTAGGGTTCGAGTAGATCAGTGTTTTACTTTTTGATTTCATGGACTTAGAGGAGTTCAAAAGGTTTTTACAGATCGATATACAGTTATCAATTTCTAAATTAGCATGTATGGACACCTTTTTTTTTTTTTCTTGCAGATGAAGTTTCGCTCTTAGTTGCCCAGACTGGAGTGCCATGGTGCAATCTCAGCTCACTGCAGCCTCGGCCTCCCGGGTTCAAGTGATTCTCCTGCCTCAGCCTCCCGAGTAGCTAGGACTACTACTCCTGGCATGTGCCACCACGATGGCTAATTTTGTATTTTTAGTAGAGACGGGGTTTCTTCATGTTGGTCAGGCTGGTCTCCAACTCCTGATCTCAAGTGACCCACCCACCTTGGCCTCCCAAAGAGCCGGGATTACAGGCGTGAGCCACCATGCCCGGCTGTATGGACATCCTTTTTAAAAAGTATACTATTGGCCGGGCACAGTGGTTCATGCCTGTAATCCCAGCACTTTGGGAGGCAGAGACAGGCAGATAATTTGAAGTCAGGAGTTCGAGACCAGTCTGGCCAACATGGTGAAACCCCGTCTCTACTGAAAATACAAAAATTAGCTGGGCATGGTAGCATGAGCCTGTAGTCCCAGCTACTGGAGAGGCTGAGGTATGAGAATCGCTTGAACCTGGGAGGCAAGGCGGAGGTTGTAGGAAGCCAAGATTGCACCTGTGCACTCCAGCCTGGGCAACAGAGTGAGACTGTCTCAAAAAAAGAAAATAAATAAAAACCATACTACTTACTGTCACCATTATGTTGTAAAAGAAAATTCATTTTAACACCAAAAGCAAAAATTCCAAAGACATAATCTCTATTTTAAGGATAGTCTTTTGAGTAAATAAATTTAGATTAATGAAAAAGTCACCAAAATATTCTTATTTTTCTTATTTTACCAAGACTGATGAAAAAACTTAGAAAATCCTTGTAAGAGGAATGATTTCTGAAGCTCTTTTTCATTCTGAGATTTTGTAGTGGTAGGTATATAAATATCATACAAGGCAAAATTCATTAAGTGCTCTAGGATACAAATAAAAGTGTGAAATTGAGAAAATGCCTAGTGTGTCTGGAGAGCAGTAAGAAATTTAGTTGAAAGGAAAACTGGATATCTTTAGTAGAATAGCGGAAAAAGAGGATAGAAAGCTGGTTTGGGGTCATGTTGTGAATAGCTTAGAACAGCCCGTGGAGGAACACGTACTTCAATTACAAAGGCAAAGGGAAGCTGTTACAAATTTTGGCTCAGGGACTCAAAGGTTGTGTTTTTGCATGCAGTGGAGAACCTAAGAAATGCTGGTTTATTGTTGGAAGACAAATGACACCATTTAAAAGGACTGTGCTTTAAGAGGCCTTAAATATTCTATGTATCAGCCCTCAATGGACCTTTTGCAGGTCCTATTTTTTTCTCTCTGTACCATTTAACACAGTTGTCTACTCCCACCTTACTGGTCTCTTGGCTTTAAGACACTACTATGTTCTGATTTTCTTATCTCTCTCTGGTCAGTCCTTCTCAAACATTTTCATGAGCGCCTTTCTTTGCTTCCTTTCACTTAATTGCCACTCCACTGCTTAGAAATTTTTGATGGCTCTCCATGCCTTTACAAGAAAATTCAAACTTCATCATCACCTCTAATCAACCAATGGCTGTAGTGGGTTCTTTTGTTTGTTTTTGACACAGTCTCACCATGTTGCTCTGTTGGAGTGTGGTGGTGCAATCACAGCTCACTGTAACTTCAACCTCCTGTGCTCAAGCAATCCTTCTGCCTCAGCTTTCCCAGTAGCTAGGACCACAGGTGCATACCACCATGCTCGGCCAATTTTTTGTTTTTAGTAGAGAAGAGGGCTCACTATGTTGCCCAAGCTGCAGCAATACTCTTTTAATATCTAGTTTAATAAGCAAAAGCAATAACAATAATCTGGCCAGGCTATTATTGATATTAATGGACACCACTTATTTAGCACTTACTCTGTGCCAAACAGATTAACATAAATTATCTAATTTAATCATCATCATGTGAGGTGAGTATTATCTTCTTTTACTAAAGAAAAAAACAGAAGGGCAGAGTGGTAAAGTGGCTTGCCAAAAGTCACATAGATAGTAAATTGTGAAGCCAGAGTTCAAATATAGGATTATTTTATTCCAAAGCCCACTCTAACTTTTATACTATGCCTATCCCTACAGTTATCTCTGTGAGTGAAATCATATGGGGAATGAAATTGAGACCAGTACATCTAGAATCTCATGTAATTTATATCTTACTATGGTCACTACCTTAAATAATAGGTAAAATAAATAATTTTAGATGAACTGAGTTTGGACCTGAGATCTAGTATGAAAATTGAATTGAAGGTCTAGTTACTAGCAGTATTAATTCAGTCCGTGAGACCAAGGAATTCTAGACCCCATTCAACATCTAGATAATTTGCTTTTCTTAGTTTTACCAACCAAGATCAATTGCCCCCAATTTTTCAAAAGATCCCAGACTTCTTTTTGACTAAGTCCTGCTAACTTCCCTTAAACAATGAAACTGATTAAAAAAAAAAAAATCTTAAGCTAAATAAAGTATCTGAGGACAAAGTCTTGCCTTCAGAATTATACAAAGTCTGCTCCAAATGTTCATTTCAGTACTTATCAAGTTGTATATTTTTTTATTAATTCTGTAGCTCTTTCACTCAAACTGTTCAACTTTAGGTAAGTTTGTTAACTAAATGCCTATCTCATAAGAGTACTTTAAAAATTAAATTAGAAAATGTATTTAAAGTACTCACACAATATTTGGTATATAGCCAATGCTTACTAAGTGAAGGTAGCTATTTTTATTATTATCCAGGTATGAGTACATCTGACTGGACTCAAGTAGAGTACATCTACTTTTTTTTTTGAGACGGAGTTTTGCTCTTGTTGCCCAGGCTGGAGTGCAATGGCACAGCCTTGGCTCACCGCAACCTCCACCTCCCAGGTTCAAGTGATTCTCCTGCCTCAGCCTCCTGAGTAGCTGGGATTACAGGCATGCGCCACCATGCCCGGATAATTTTGTATTTTTAGTAGAGATGGAGTTTCTCCATGTTGGCCAGGCTGGTCTCAAACTCCCAACCTCAGGTGATCCTCCCACCTCGGCCTCCCAAAGTGCTGGGATTACAGGCATGAGCCACCTAGCCAGGCTGAGTCCGTCTACTTAAAAAAATATATATATAGCCTTCTTCTAGGGTGATCACCAGTCCCAGTTTGCCTGGGACTGTCCTGTTTTTAAAAAGAAAGTCCTATGTCTCAGAAAGCCTCGTAGCCCTTAGCAAAGTGGGAAAATTGATCAATGCCAGTTTCCTTTGTAATAGACTGAAGTCCTGGGCTTCTTAGGCTGTGCCAGACACTCTTCTAGGCATTAGGATTACAGAGACAAAGTCTTTCTAAAGCCTAGGTTCTAGAGGAGAAACATACAGTAAACAAAGAAATACTTGATGATATAATATGATAAGTACAAGAAAGAAAAATAAAGCAGGATAAGGGATACAGAGTGTTAGGAGACAGGGCTCAATTTGAGGCGGAATGGTCGGGAAAAGCTTCGCTGAGTGGATGTTTGAGCAAAGATGCAAGTGAGGCAAAGACCTGGATAAAGAGCTAGAAATAAGCATAGTGTGTCAAGAAATAGCAAAAAGGCTAATGTGCCAGGAGCTGAATGAGAGAGGGGAGAGTAGTTGGAGTGGTGGTTGGAGAGGCAGGCTAAGGCCAGATAAGTCATGCTTTACAGGTCATGGGTTTTATTCTGAATGGGAAGGAAAGCCATTAGAGGGTTTGGGGTAGAAGGGTAACATAATCTACTTTATGCTTGAAAAAGATAACTCTGGTTAATGTATAGAGGATTGACTGCAAGCAAACAAGAGGGAAGCAGCTACCATTACAAGATTATTGCAATAGACCAGGAGATAGATGGTGGCTTGAACTCTAATGGTAACAGTAGAGGTATTGAGAAGTGCAGGCATATCTTGTTTTATTGTGCTTCGCTTTATTGTGCATTGCAAATTTTGCATTTTTTACAAATT